TATAAAAATCAAAGTAATACTTAAAACAGTACTTTTTAGAGTACATAACCTGCCAGCATAATCTACAGTTTCTCTTTTGACTTATCAAACTATCAAGTTTTTTGCCTTGGGTTTTCAGTGGTGGGTTGTTTGGGGTTTTTTTGCAACTCAACAGTTTTAGCAGTCCTGAACTACTGTAGAGCATCCAGTCCTGCGTTAGTTAATAACTACATTATTAATGCTTTGAGAGTCGTAAAGGTAGAAATAAAGATTATAGCTCAGGGCACTCACCAGCACCCCCAAACGGTCAATTCTGAACTGTTTTTGCTGTGTGCTCCACATAAATGCTTAAATTACCAGGCATGTAAGCAGAAGATGCAAAACCAGGGGAGAGTTAAATGAAGTGCAACACCTTCAGCTGACAGGGCCTGTCAAAAGCCTCATACTGCTGTTCAGACTGCCTCTGACAGGACCTAAACGATACACATCAAGAGGATGATATACAACATTGATCAGGAAGAAAAGCAACGATTGCTCCAAGGCTGCTTGCCAGGGAAAATACCGCATATCCAAACAAAGCGGTAACAACCAAGTACTAATAAATTCAAGGAAGTTTTCATTAATATTAACTGTACTTCTTAAAATAGCCTAAGTCTGATAAACAAGACAACAGCAAAAGATAATTAGTATAAGTAAAAAATGGCAGCATATACCTAGAAAAATCACTTCTGTATAGCTTTTTAATATTTTTCCAATCCTACTTAAATTACAACTTTCCACAATTTGACTAAAACCAGCAGCTACATATTTATATTAAAAAAAGTCTAAGGAATTTTTAAATCTGACATCTGCCACAGTGATGAAGTAACATGTTTTCATAAACCTATGAAAAAGAGACCATTTAAATGACTCAACTAATAGATGGCTATCCGCTCACAAATTGAGCAAGGTTTTAATTAAAAAAAAAAAAAAAATACTAAAAATGTTAACTTTAACTAGTTAGGCACAGCATCAGATTACAATCATTACTAAATCATTCTAATAAGAATACACTACTGTTTCAGTAAAAACAACAATAAAGAGTATACCTACACGGAAATGGTGCCAACAGATGTGCCACAGACTAATCAAAGTCTGTACTGGCAGCGCTATAATCTAGAGGTCTTCAGAAGGCAAACAGTTCTGCTTAGGATAGTTCTAGGAATGCAGTTGGTCATTATTTCCATTGGGTCAGTTCTCCAACAACGTTTTCATTGCAAAATAATAAATTAGTTCCTTATGTGCAACAAATACAGCTATACAAGTTCCAGTGTTCCCAGTTTAAATCATGGGATGCACGAACAAATCTTCTATTCATTTATTGCACAAATTCTATCTCCCAGAATATTTCAAGTGTTAACTTTAACTGAAATACATGCCAACAACTTCCTCAAACATGCCCAGTCAGAAATCTATCTTGCACAACACAACAAATTTAACTCCTTACTGTGTGCTTGAACACAGTTAGAAAAAAGATTTTTAGTGAAAATATCAGAAGAAATCTGTTTGTGTTAGAGATCAACAAAATGAAGTGAACTTTACTACTAAGGAAAAGGTCAGCCAAACAAAATTTATTACAACGATTATTATTTGAAACCACAGCCACCCTAGTCTTGAATAAAATATTAGAACTTTAAAAACATGAAATCTTAATTTCCACAACAGAACAGAACCATCCAGTTAGATGCTGTCTCATATCTGGACTAATTAATTCCATTGAATACATGCTATCAGCTTTATAGACCTTTGTGTGTTATAAAGATGAATCAATTACTTTGCATAAGTTTTAAGATGGTTAAAGTATTTAGATGCAAAATATTAATGTGGTTTTGTAAGGGTAATTCATGTCTGTAAAGTGCAAGAGGCAGGTGGCATTTAAGTATGTAAGCAAGCCAATATTCCTTCAGTGCATTCCCTACATATGCAAGTAATTAACTTCCTGTGGTTGTAATCCAACCTTCTGCACTGATATTCCACAGCTAGGATTTTTTATAGCTGACCAGGAAATACTTCCAATATATTGGTTATTTATACTACCTTTTTTTGGGAGGGCAGGGGGAGGAATCTGTTGATTAATTTTGTAGATTTAACAGTATTCTGCAAACAATCAGTTTTAATTTTGTTGACATTTACCACTTGCAGAAATTATTTATAAGCTGTATTCTGCAAAGAACTCGCATGCATGCTCTTTCATAGATCACACCTCAAATAGGATACTGTACTAGAAAACTACACCTGGTAGATAATGCTATGTCAGCAAACATGTTTTTCCTACAAGCATAATAAAAACGTCCCTTACAAGCCAAACAAACTACAACAACAGAAGTGCAGTTGTTCTATTGTAAGTTCACCTACACAGAAGTCTCTACTGGCATGGATACCTCAGTCAAGGACCATGTCTTCATATGCCTAATCAACATACCTATGCAAGCTAAACATTCTTGCAGAAATCTTCTGTAAGATTTGCAGCCTGTTGGAGTCTAACTGTTCAGGTCCTCCCCCTGCTCCCCCCCCCCCCCCCCAGCCAGTCACACTGCAAAAGCTCTCACCCTACACAGAAGTTTCATGCTACAACTGCTAAACCGTTGGCAGCATTCTAACTTGGGTATAAAAGTCTCACTAGAGCAAACCAACCTATCCCAAACTAGAGGCAAAAAAGAGCCATAGCCTGCATAGACAGATGCAGGGAAGAGCCAAGGGACTGACGATTCACAGGCTAAAAAAGGGTCAAAGTGACAGTGGCTGGCCAAGATATTTGTTTCTTGGGCTTTATGTCAAGCTTGAACATTTTATTTTACAGTATACAAAAATTCACACAGTAAAGTACATGCAAGCAACCAAATACAGCAAAGTTAGTATCAAAAGTAACTTGACAGATAGTGTTATTTTCACATTGCTCTTGTAGATGAACTACCTGTGTGCTACATGCCTGAAGAAGGGGTGTGGGGAATTTAAAAAAAAAAAAAAAAAATTAAAAATCGGTCCACTTCTGAGCATTGGCAGTGCATCTCTCTTCAACAGCTGACTGTACTCCCGCCACAGCCTGATCCTTAAGCATCTTTAAAGAAAAAGATCTCCCACACCCAATATGTACTTTTCTGTGTGTTTTCAATAGTCACACAGACCAAAATGCATGTCTTATTCTGTCCTACGAATATTCCCCTTCAAAAAAGACAACAAATTATGCTAGCCAAGAACAATTGCCACAGTCAACCTAAAAAAACCCTTAACTTTAATACATGCAAATCATAGTATAACCACTGCATGTATATTATAATTCTAGAAATAGTGTGTAATTCTCAAAAATTCCTACTGTATTGAATGAAAAGCTGACTATCATTTCCTGCATCACAAAAGGCCCTATCTGTTAGCAGCCCAGGTCTTAAACAAGACTTAAGTGCAGTTAATGGAAATGAATCGCTACATTTCAGCCAACACTTGAAAGGAACACGTTATAAACTAAGTTATCCTGCAATTGAAAAGATGCAATGACTATCTCAACAGGGAATTCTGAATAACTTCAAATGCAAGGAAATGTTATTTTACTGAGATTATTTGGGTAAAACAGAAAATGCAACTTATCTTCACAAGAATCCTATCAAATTTTGCATGATGTGCAAAATCTATCTTCAGAACTCCATTTTTTTGTAGACACCCATTGCTTACATATTCTTTCCCCACCACATAGTCTATATTTTGTCTCTATTTTTATTTTGTGTCTACTGCTCTTTCCTAAAGACCTTCACTTTTCTAATGAACACTAGCAGCACCACCTTCCCTTCTTGGCTTTCAAAGTGAATAACTCACGTACAAAAAGGATAATATACTCTTATACACTAGATGACTAAGGTAGTTTTAAAAATTAAACATGATAAGGAAGAATGTCATAGGAAGGTCATTTTTAAAAGAAGTTCTATTTCAGATCCTTGCGGATTTTTACCTGCTGTTTGTTTTTTAAAATAACTTTTGCTCTCACACAAAGGACGGAACAAATGTTTCTCTTGACACTTCCCTAAGACTGCAAGGGGATGAGAGCGAACGCAATGTACCGCCAACAAAGGATACAAGTAAGTTAATTGATATGAATACTGTAATACTTAAGCTTTCCAAAAAGAACATGTTTTAACATGCAAATTTAATATACAATGGATATAGAATTAATCTCTTCTTTATGAATCTTTCATGTCTCCTGTGGAAAGCCTTTTAACTTCTGATGGAGCCTTTTAACTTCTCATGGAACAGGCTGAAAAAAATTTAAAGGATCCTCAGGTAAACTTCGAATACACAAAGCACAGCTTGTAAGAATCTCTACACTTACCCAGCCATATTTGCTGTAGAGATGTACCTAAGTTAAAGACAACAATCAAGAAAAACAAAATACACACCCCAGTAAGTTCCCCAGTTTAACCAAGTAATGATGAAACATGATGTGCTTAAATTACTTAAATAGATTTCTTCAAAGAACTGGATATTCTCACAGTTTACATCTGATGATCAGGGATGTCAATGGTTAAAATATCTCAGGAACATCCTTCACTAGCCTAAGTTCCCTACAGCCTCTGAGTATATCACCCAGATTTCTCCTAATGGGCCACAATGATTTCTAAACTTGAACAAAGTTTTTGTCTGCTGAATAGAGCATTCAAAGATACACAAACATATTTTGGGTGTATCTGTGATCTAAACTTCCAAAAATAACTGATGATTCAGAAACACCACTGGAGGGTCGATCTCCACCGAAGTTTTAATCAAGGTTAGTTGTTGCCAAACAGCATCTGTCAACAAGCACCCACCAAAAGCAGAACAAATCTGTAAGAACACCAGAGCTTCTAGTCACAGACAAGCATAAAAACTGTTGCTTTTAAATAGTGACAATATTGTTTCACAATCCTTTTCCATTTCCTACGCTCTAGCATATGACAAGCAAACCACTAAATCAAAAAAGGGAAATGGGGCTCAACTCTAAAGTCTAACAAATGGCAATATTCACAAAGCTAAAGCTCAAAATCTCCGTTCCAGTCCATGCAGTACCTCCGTAAGAAAAAAAGAATTACTCTATTCTACAGTATTGACTGGCTACTTCTAGAGCTCTTCACTGGTTGCAGAAGATCCTATTCAACTACACAGTGACAAACTACCTAGCAGTATGATGCTACTCTCCATACTACAGACAGAGCAGTTTGGATGCTAACCAAAAATCTCACAATATAGAAAACTCGGTAGATCAGATAACAGTGGTCATGAAACTGGATTGAAAGCCTTATTCATTTTATGTATTTTAATACTGCCCTCATACAGGATTAATGAAAAGCAGAAAGGCTGAATACTCTACTAATGTCTATGAGGAACGGGATAAGCCATAATGGGCTTAAACTGAATAAAAAAGATACAGAGCTTCTCTCACGACTTAAAAAGACAGCTGTAAGAAACTCAGTGAAAAACTGGAACAGATTGCCTAAAGTACTTACATAATCATAATTGCTGGAGTTTTTATAAAAAGGATTAGACAAAATCATAGCTAAGAGTAATCCAGAGTATACACAACCCCGCCAAAGATGCTCCAATGCAATGTGTGCACTGCCAGACGTTTCTCCTGCACAGATTTCTCTTTTCAAAAGAATGGTTCTAAAGGTGACATTTAACATGGCCAGAGAGTTGTAGATGTCATATTCACAACGCTCCAAGCCAATTAAAAAGTGACACTGAATGAAGATCGAGTAACAGCACTTCAAGGTATGCTCAGACAAGAAAAGAAAATATACATAAGGAAATCATGTATAATAAAAAGAATACAAAACTCAAAAACATTCAGAATATTAAGTCTTTTCAGAACTTGATGTCAATAGAATTTTAAAAACAATCTAAGGATGGGAAATCTTAAAAGACACTACAGAAAAATCTATTTTGAATATTCAAGCTTCAGTTAGTTGAATAACTTTTAACTGTCTACTCAAAATAATTTGCTTTCAGATTTACCTACTTGTCTGCTCTGTGTGTGTTTAAGCGGATCAGTGTACTGCGAGGAAATAGACATCGAAGCTGTACCTCCACTGCCAAAGGAAACAGCGTACCTTTATGCACGATTTAACAAAATAAAAAGGATAGCAGTCTCAGATTTTGCTGACATTAGTAAGTAATGTTCAAATTTTCATTTTGGTTTACCTGATAGCGTATTTGAACTTGTTGCCCCTTAATAGTAGGCCAAGATTACCAAAACAAGACATATTTTATATTTAGTTAGATTTCATTATGTGTGTTACTTAATTCAATGTTGCTATTAGAACAGGAACTATGAAGGTAATAGGGAAACCCGTTTTGGCTCATGTATCCATCTTAATATTCCCACATAATTGGGGAAAGAGCAGATCACTAAAAATAAAATTTAACTCTGCATCCTATCCAGTCTTAAGTGAACAGGTATCATTTTTCCTTCAAATGCTCCAGGGACATCTCTCCCAGCTATCATGCTCTACAACATGACAAACTCCATGAATATCTGAAACCATGTTGCCCATAAGAAAAAAAAAAAAAAAAAATCCAGAGTATTTTCCTTATTAATAGTTTTTTAAAAAATTTAAGACCATGAGGAAATCCAAATGTGGATTTTATTCATATTTTAATAGTATTTACTTTTGTAGATCACAATTAGGATGGTGCAGCCAACAGTGTAACATTTAACATATAAAACTATACCCATTTCACATGCCACCTAATTATAAACTCAACATTTAGATTTTCATTTCTTTTGTGTAAAGCTACCTTGAGAAGAATTGATTTTAGTGGAAATAGGATAGAAGAAATAGAAGATGGAGCCTTTTCAAAGCTTCTGTTATTGGAAGAACTTTCTCTTGCTGAAAATCGACTTATAAAACTTCCTGTTCTACCTCCCAAACTAACAACATTTAATGCAAATCAAAACAGAATCAAGAGCAGAGGAATCAAAGCAAATGCTTTCAAGGTAAGTAAAAGACAATACTTTAAGTAACCAAAGTAAATAAACTTAGTAGCCAGACTATCCAGTATACCACCAAACGAATTTTCTGTATTTTTGTAATCTAAGAAACAATCTATGACAAAGATGCTTTCCAGCTTTTGGGTTGCTTTTAAGGCACTCTGGAACAACAGTCCCTTGCAAACTCACTCTCTCATTTCATTCATACAAAAAAATCTTCTACGAAATATCTTACCTACTTCTTTTCTCTCTCACATGCAAAGAAAAACTCAATTCAAGATCAGTGTCTCAAATACAGTTCTGAGAAACAAGGAAACGGCTTTAGAGTGGTCTCAAGTCTTATAACCAGTAAGCTGACCCTGAAATTTCCAAAACATAGAAGGCCTGTTCTACGAGTTTCTTGATACAATAGAATTAAACATTCACAGCAAAAGAAGGTTTCATGTTAGATCACTTTACACACTTTCTGTGCGATCAGAAAAAAATACTGATGTCTTGTGACAGGCACAAGTTACTCAACCTCAAGTAAGCAGTATCAGCATTAACAATCTCTCTCTCTAATAGAAGCTGACAAATTTGGCCTACCTCTACTTAGGACATAACGCACTGGAATCTGTTCCCCTTAACTTACCGGAAAGCCTGCGTATTCTTCACCTTCAGGTATTTTTGAAGTATTTCCTTAACATTCTATTACCAAGAGCCTCATTAGTGACATACTTCAAACCAAACCCACTGTCTTTTAAAACAGCTCACACTGCAGTTGTGCTACAGTTGTCTAATGCTCCTCCAAATAAAAAAATTTACCGCTAGTCTGGATGGCCAAAACTACTCCGTGTTCAGAAGTTGCTTGCTAGCAATTACCATGCAAGAATTTCTCATTAGTTTCGGTATATCAAGCACAGGAAATGTGAAAAATAAGCAATAATCTCTTATCAACAACCACCCCGAACTGCTTATCAGCTCATTGACTGGTTTGAAGAGACTTGATTCCTACATATCTATAGTACACACTAATCAAGGCCAATGACAACAAAATGGGAGGGTAAGAGGATTAAAATTAAAGTTTGAAAATTCTTCAACATATATGGGGGTGTGTATATATGTGTGTGTATTTATTAATACAAAAATGTTTTGTTTTGCAGTACAACAACATTACTACAATCACCGATGACACATTCTGCAAGTCTAACAACACACGGTACATCCGCACACGTATGGATGAGATAAGGATGGAAGGCAATCCAATCCTCTTGGCAAAGCATGTTAGTGCTTTTTCCTGCTTGAGAACATTGCCTGTAGGAACATACTACTAGCCACTACTTACGTAATTAGACATGCCAAAACTTAACAGAAATTAAGATAACAGAAAATCATTCTTTTTCCTCTGTTTACACGTTTATACCCTCTCCCTTACTAACGCCACTGCCCTGCATATCCAGAACCTTTTACTATGTTGAAATGTGGTTCTCCTTTCAAAACAGGTACTTCACTTAATAGTTACAAGGTCACCCATGATTTCAGAATCTTTTCTGTTAATGTAAGTGTAAAAATACATATATGCACACATGTATCTTCTCAACTTCTATTTCACCACATATTCCTTACAAGTAGGTAAAATCACACAAGTAACTGCTTATTCACATTCTTTGCCAGTACCCAGAACAATCACTACATTTTACTTTCAAATAAACACAAAACATTCCTTGAGCAAGCTACAGCAGAAAAATACATCTTCATTCCAAATCTCCTTTTTTAATCTGAAATTAAACTTTTTCAGTTGACCTTCAAACAAGCATTGGACGAAGCTGCTTACAAAAGACAGTTATGTTCAAAATAGAACTTCTCAAAGCTTAACTTCATTAAATCCTCCTTAAAAACTTGGTTGGTTAAAAGTGAGGGTAATTCCTGTTTAGGCTTAGTGTACCAAGACACATAGCAAGTGGAACTTTTCAAAGATGTGTTAAATCTCCTTCTACTATTTTACTTTCAAAATACGCTGAGTGTGTGTGTATATATAGTATACATATTTTATTTTTACACAAGGTATTTTTAATTGAAATATATAACTTCTGCTCAGTTGTACTCAGAAGAGTCATATTTGCAACACCAGCTTCCCATTTTAATACAGTGGTCAAAGTACAGCATAGTATGGCTCCAAGTATCTTTGTTATTAACAGATGATGTAGACTGAGCCTTGTTCCACTGCTTTGGTTTTTTGACAAATGTGACACTAGAATTAACAGCAAAGCTGAATTAAAGTTTTTACCTGTAAAAAAGTAAGATTTCAGCTAGATGTCAGTGCAAACAAACAGAAGTACCATTGTACAACAATACTGTCACTCATTAGGGAAAAATCAAATCAGATCTTTAAATTACGAAGAAAAATTGATTATACCATTAATCTAAAAAAACCAAAAAAGTGTTAACAGCAAACAAATTCAACTAGCATCATTTCACTCAACTACTTTAAACCAGTTAGCATATTAAAAAGATAAATTGAAGTCTGCAGGCCTCAACAGTCAGCTCACGTAAAACTAGACACAATTGATACAGGATGCAATGTTTTTAATCACACAACTATACATTTCTGATATTTCATTTTCAGTTCCCCCCCCCCCAAACACCTACCACAGGTGTAAACTCTTCAGATAAATGAATGCCAAAAGTGTCCTAGTTACTATTACCAGATCGATTTCATACTAATCTTGAAGCTAGTATAGATTCCTAATTTGTAGACATAGTTAAGTATCAAATGCATGATGATGTATCACCACATCTAGAATACTGACTTTACATGATATTTTGTATTAGTTTTATTTTATCTTATTTAGCTAGGCCTCGATTTGTTAGTGCTTGTGCTATGGGCAATTAAATGCACACTTAATTCTGAACATGAACATAGTGATGCTCCGCCACAAGGAGTGTTGACACACAAGTGTATTTCAGTCACTTTTAAAGTAAATATCAAGCATCAATTGTAGGCTCATCTTTCTGGAAAGAGGATGAAATTACGAAATGCAGGACAAAAATATATTTGCCCTGAACGCATTACCCAAGACAGACATAGCAATCCCAAATATTTTCCATTTTAAGTGGAGCAACAAGAAAGAAATTCCATTGTCTTAAAACAACTGAGAACAAAACCAAGTCTGACAGTGAGATCAATACTTGTTTTTCGTTTTCCCATATAAGTCATAAAACTTTGATGTTTCCAGCTTTTTAGCAAAAGGTAAAAATAACCTCAAAAAACACTCCAATCCCAAGCTAAATTTATACTAGAAAAAAATAAAAGCACCAATTCTCTCCTCCCTCTTTTGATAAATGCCTAAGATGGACACAGCTAGAAGTGTAAGTATAATAACATTGCGTTAAGCTGTGGCCTCTGATCTCATTCTCATCACAAATCATTATTACTCAATAAAGCTCTTTCCAGTATTAACAGCATCAGTAAATATCACCAAAACTCCACCTATGAAAACAATTATATGTGTATACACAAATATATGCACATTTATATAATATATACACACACATAAACATTCTAAGACCTAACCACGACCACACTATTAATTTTACATTAAAATGTTGTCTGTATTTTTGAAAAAGTACTAAATATCAACAGTAACACTAATTAATACTTTTTATATTTTGTGAGCAAACCAGAGCAGACAACTGGCACTTCCAAATGCCTCATGCAGGCAAATAATTTATCTGATATAGTTTAATTTACTTTCCCCATTCATAGCAAGTTCACTCATCAAACCATTAAGTGAGAAGGACTTTTAGCCTTCTATTTGCGTGACTGGTACTAATATCAAGCTGAATGTACATCATTCTATTTTCTCCTATCACTCATTTCTGTTCTGTATTTCCAATAAAACTCAAATATTTTTTTTTCTTGTTTCTCAATGTGAGCTTCAACAGTCTGCTCATCCAGCATTGCCAACATGCTTCAGTTGATCAGCCGCATAGCAGACTAAGGGTGTGTCTAGGTCAGAAAATTCTTTGCAGATAAATCCATTTTGCAGACACAATATTTATTGTGGCAATGTAGTAAGACCTGCCATACAAGTTACACCATACAAAAGACTTGTGGGACACTTCACTCGTTCCTTCAAAATGTATTTAAAGCATTACCACATAGAATTTTCCAGTAGAACAGAGGAGCAGCAGCAGAGGCTACTGACTGTATGCTTGGG